ATTGAAGTATCTCAACGTGTAACCGTTTGCTTGGAGTTAGGAGTATGATAGATACAATAATGTAACCCAACACAGAGTGGAGTTACTGTTCGGCTGGAACTTAGCTCTATAACTATAGCCCTTCGCTCCACCACAGGCCTGTGGCAGAGCTAAGAGCTATAGTTCTAGAGCTAAGTTCCAGCCGAACAGTAACTCCACTCTGTGTTGGGTTACATTATTGTATCTATCATACCCCTAACTCCAAGCAAACGGTTACACGTTGAGATACTTCAATGAAGTGTTTTGATGTTAGTTTTACAGCCTGGTCGGAGTTACCAGGGAGCGGGGTGTCAGCTGCGTGGGAGTCAGTCGGGAGTTGGAGTAGGCTGGCTTACTGAATAAATATATAAGTTACGAGTGATGCTGTACTGTACCGTACCACTGCTGATGCACACATGTACGGTTGCTCGAATTTCGTTGACGTATTGGGGGGTACAGGAGTAGGACGAGTCGAGCCAAGGTATCTGTGAATCACACACGATGTACGAATACTAGCTGTAGAAGTAGGGTAACAATAAAAGTAGGGTGTCAGCCGTGGTAGCATAGCAGTAGAAGTAAGGTAGCAGGGGGCAATAGGTAGCAGTAGAAGTAGGGCGGCAGGGGGCAGTAGGTAGTATTAGAAGTAGGGCGGCAGGGGGCAGTAGGTAGCATTAGAAGTAGGGTAGCAAGGTGCAGTAGGTAGCATTAGAAGTAGGACGGCAGGGGGCAGTAGGTAGCATTAGAAGTAGGGTAACAGTGAAAGTAGTGTGTCAGTCAGCACAAGTAGGGTATCAGTAGAAGTATTGTAGCAGGTGGTGGTAGGATAGCAGTAGAAAATAGGGTAGCAGTAGAACTACCCAAGGTAATAGTCAGATCACCACTGTCTGTAGACTGAGACAGACCCTGTCTAATTGTAATATGTGAGTGCATGTATTGTACATAGTAATTAGTATACAATTATAACATATATACATAGTATAGACATGTAAACTTTACATAGTGCACATGTAATCATGTAGTGTTATAATGTGAATGTATGCATTGTATACATTGTATACATGTGTAAGGCATGAGCTATAATACATGTTTACATAATAGTAGAACTGAGTAATACAAAGTGTTAAAAAGTCTATAATTAAATGTACTAGCACAAGTTAGACAAAAGTGGATTGTGTCTTTTTTAAATCCATCATGTTTATAGGGTATATAGGTGTGTAAACTTAACACAAATAAGTAACCAAACAGTGTAGGGAAATGAATATGTAACCCCACTGGGTTGGGTTACATATTTGTACCTGGTGTAAATTATACACCTATAAATAATGAATGTATAATGAATATTGCTTAATTATATTCAGTGCGTGTGTTATCACTAACACAGCAAAAACCATCTGCGGTTTGGTAAATATGTTCCTGGTTGGAGTCTGAGTTGACTCTTACAACAAGTGCAATGAATGAGTGTTTAATGCCGCTTTTATACTGCTAGTAGTAGTAGTAGTAGGTGTAGTAGTAGTATCATTATTATTGTCATGCAACAGCATTTGTTTTTTAATAAAGTTAATTTATTTTTGCTAATTGTGTTCTTCACAAAGTCGAAGGAACGTACACGAAACAGAAGTGTTCATCTCCAGCAGTTCCTAACATGTGTTCCTCATCATACAGATGTTCCCAGTAATGACACAGGCTGATGTTCCGCGTATTGTGTGTGAGGTTCACCTGGTGTTCCGAATTTTTTCCCTTTACTTTCGCTGCCTGTTGTTCATCAAACATGTTCCTAGTAGGTCGGCTCGGTGTTGTTCCCGTACAGGTTTACGTTATTGTTGTCCATCACGCGTTCCTGATTCTGCCGGCGTTTGTTCCATATACGTTCCTAGGATGTTCTCCACGCGTGTTCGCAAGAACGCAGTGTGGCTAATGTTCATCGTGGCCTTCCTTTGCACATGTTCTTCATGGTATTCTTTGCAGATGCTGCTGCTGGTTGTTCAGCGTATATGTTCAGCCGATGTTCATCGCAGTTCTTCTGTGATTTTACTGTTTTTGTTGTTGTTCGCATCTTTTCTGTTTCTCACTCTGCACGTCACAGCATGTTCTTATCACAAATTCTCTCTCCTTCTCTACGTCCCTCTCTCTCCCAGTCTCTCTACCTCTCTACCTCTCTACCTCTCTACCTCTCTCTCCCTCTCTACCTCTCTCCCCCTCTCTACCTCTCTCTCTACTTCCCTCTCTACCTCTCTCTCCCTAGCTACCTCTCTCTCTTCACCTCTCTATCTACCTCACCCTTCTCCGTCCTCTCTCTCCTACCCTCCGTATGTCACACTCTTGCGTCTTCCCTCCCTTCTCCTTAGAGAGAGAGAGAGAAAGAGAAAGAGAGAGAGAGAGAGCGAAGGAGAGCGAGACTAAGTTAGCACAAGAGCAAGCGTGAGATGTGGAGAGGGTACAGCATAAGATATATAGATAGCTAGATAGATAACTGCTGTTAGTGTTCACCAACCTATGTAAATTTCTCTCTTCTGCAGCCAGTCTGTTTAGTTTTACATTAAATTAATTCAATACATTTTGATTTTGATTTTGATTTGGAAATTTTGAAACAGAATTGAATCCCTATGGAGTCGATTTCCTCGAATTTGAATCGATGTCAAATTTTGATTTCGTAATGAAAACACTTTCAAGAGTTCATCTCTTGCAACTTGTCTAACCTGTCTTTAAAGACTACCCGCCATTTCCCGCGGGGAAATTATACAATCACACTACCTCTACTAAGAGAGCGAACACCTGCCCATAAGGAACAGTCTTGCAGTTTCTCTTGGATGACTCTTGTGTATATATATATATATATATATATACATAGTATACATGCATACAGCTTTGACTGACTGTATATATGTACAATAACAAAAGCACGAAAAATCCGATTTATTCTCTTGATAATAATAATAATAGCTAGCTAGCTGCTACTAGCTTTTCTATTCCCTGCTCTCATCCTCTAGCACAGCTGTGTTCTTGTTGGTGATGTAAGCATGTTCTGATGTTCTTGCAGACGATAGAGGCAAACTATGTTCTTGTTGGTGATGTAAGCATGTTCTGATGTTATTGCAGACGATAGAGGCAAACTATGACCGCGTGTATCCCAGCGAAGACGATGACACCAAGGATGTCGACGATAACTGTGAGTGAGGGGGAGGGGGAGGGGGTGGGTGATGACCACATAAGGGAATGGGTGGGTGATGATCCCTTATAGGGGGAGGGGGTGGGTGATGACCACATAAGGGGAGGGGTGGGTGATGATCCCTTATAGGGGGAGGGTGTGTGTGATGAATGTGTATATGCAGAGGAGCAGGTGATAAATGGTTATAGAGGGAGGGGTGAGTGATGACCACATAGAGGGGCTAGGGAGATGGACGAGAAGATAGGGGGAGAGGAGGGTGTAGGCAGAGGGGTGGGTGAGAAACATTTAGTAGGGATGGGTTGAGTGAGGGACATATAGGGGGAGGGGGTCAGTAACGTATGTTTTAATGCTTTGGCGAATAATCATAATATCAACAACATTATAGCTAATCATATGTGTCCGAGTTTGCACTACAAGTTGTTCCTAGAAGCGTTTTTTTCCCGGACAGGGTCAGTTACAGAAGCTAGTAGTGTCAACAGCAAGGATGAACTTACTAGTAAAACACTAGAAGCGTTGGTTTGTGAGATTACCTCAATAATGGGGGGAGGTTTCCAAACTCGAGTAGTCGGTTAAAGGGGAGGGGCGTGTAGCCAGCGTATACCTGGAGTTAACGAGACGTCGTTTACCTTACAGGTGCGTTGATGTACCTGAACGAGGCAACCCTGCTAAACAATGTACGACTTCGCTACAAGCGCGACCAGATATACGTGAGTGTGGTCGTAATGGCGGCTTTCACACGTGTGTGAGCGTGCTGTGTCTATCTCGTCTGCGCTCATTGCTGTCTTTTTTGCTCTCTCTGTCTGTCTGTCTCTTTCTCTCTCTCTCCGCTCGTATTGGTATACAATACGTCACGGTTCAGCTACCTGAAGGTTAGTAAACCATGTGGTAGAGTGTCTAATATTGATCAGTCTCTAAAGATTTAATTAGCATATCTAGTCAGAGAATTGCTCAAGAGTAGTTTATTTTAAATTTAATCTTGTAAAATGAATGTAATAATTGAAAAATACACGTTTTTAGAATTCTTTTTTTCTACCACAGGGTGACCAAAACTACTTCCGGTTTATAAAATGTTATATAAATCCTACAAATGTCACGAAAATACAAAAGAAAACGGTCAGGATTATTAACAATAAAATCCTAAATTCTTAATTATTGTTTTTAGTGGGATATTAAGTCATTTTCCTGGATCATTTAAAGTATAATGATACTTTTCCTATAATTTTACGTATTTTTGAGAAATAATATTTTTGTCACGTGACTTCAACATCCCATAATCAAAAACCTTTGGTGCAAAGATGAACCTCACCATAAACCTAACTAATAGTTGAAGAGATGACAGAATTACCTTGCAATCCGATCGAGATATGATTTTTTAAAGATTTAGTATAAATCAGCAAAATTTGCATAAATTACTGACTTTAAAGTCACGTGACCCGCTTAAGCTGCCGATCTGACAAGGCTATCACATATTTTCTTGATCTACACACCAAGGGCTTTCCGAAAATGCATGGTAGCATTTGCCCCCCAACTTGGTAATGAAAAGTTGTTTGGCTCATGGACTATAATAAGTACGTGATGGGCACAAGTTGTGTTCCTCGCTCCATTCTCGTAAGGGTGTCGATTCCCAATGCACGCAATTATTTCGAGATAGCGTGCTTTGGCTATGTTGTCTAGTCTAGTGAATCAAAGCACTTCTATACTACGTACACTTCAGACAGTTGGCAAATGTGCATACACCAGATGTTATAAAATGCTGCTTTTGATTGCTATATGCAGTAAAATCGGTGAAATTTCTGAACACTCGCGATGTAAACAAACTCAAGTCCATGAACATATATATGTGTTGCGTTCAACCTGATCTGTGTAATCTCATTAAACTCTAGCGGAGCATCCCAACCCACGCTGATAAACCTGTCCCGAAAAATCGGGATCTACCTACTGCTAATATCTATTGCAACTAGACAGAGGGCACTCACGGAGAGTGCATAACTCCGCCAGCATGTAACATATGTATGTGTTACGAGCTAGCTGCTGCTGACTGACCCGCCTGCTGCTGACTCGTCGCTCGATGGTGGCGGCTGCTGACTCGCCGCTCGCTGGTGGTTGCTGCTGATTCACTCGCCTGCCGCTGACTTGCCGTTCGCTGAGTCAACGCGCTATCGATCGCACCGCGCGGACTGGATTACATTACCTCCCCTCCACTCCGTTACTCCGTTAACTCCGTGGGCGGAGGTAATAATAACACTATATACTATAGCTAATGTAAAATCGGTTGATTGTGCAGATTGGCAGATTACATAGACTGGTACTGGCTCCCACTTCTCGGCTTAGTAACTAGACCAAGAGGTGGGAGCGAGTACCAGTCTACAGATTACACGCCACACATGTTCGCTCTTTTTGTAACCGGTATGGCCGGCGGCACGGGATTGTAGGTAATATTGCTATTTTTAGTCCAAGTCGCGGAACCCTCTATAGCTGAATGTACCAATCTCGTATCTATTGCAATCTCTATCTCTGACTCTCCCCGATCTCTAGTCGAACACGCGGTTATATCTCACATAGGTAGACACGCCTACCTATTGTTTATGGTCAGTCAGTACTAGGTTACTGTCTGTAATTGGCTAATTCTACCACTGTCTAGTCCAGCGTTATATTTACACAGCTGGCCTGTATGCCAACCTGGAACAATAGCTTATTCCTGTATATTTATTTATCTGTCTTTCGACGGTATTACACGGGCGTGCGTGCGTGTGCACGTACACGTGCTGGCGTGCGTGCGTGTGCACGTACACGTGCTGGCGTGCGTGCGTGTACACGTACACGTGCGGGCGTGCGTGCGTGTGCATGTACACGTGCGTGCGTGCGTGCGTGCGTGCATGCGGCTACATTACATAACACATATATATACTTGTAATACCGTCGAAAGACAGATAAATAAATATACAGGAATAAGCTATTGTTCCAGGTTGGCATACAGGCCAGCTGTGTAAATATAACGCTGGACTAGACATTGGTAGAATTAGCCAATTACAGACAGTAACGTAGTACGGACTGACCATAAACAATAGGTAGGCGTGCCTACCTATGTGAGATATAACCGCGTGTTCGACTAGAGATCGGTGAGAGTCAGAGATAGAGATTGCAATAGATACGAGATTGGTACATTTAGCTATAGAGGGTTC